TTTCTCCTTTGTTCGCTTCTGAGAAGCAAAAAACGGGCATCAGCTCGCTTTTCGCGAAAAGGACGTTTAACCATGCACTTCGAGTACTCGTACTTTTTTCACGATGTTCACATTCTCGAGAGCCTAAGTTCAGAAATTTGCCCCGGGGCCTGATGGCCTTTAACAAGAATATGTTTATCATTATGATGTAGAACAGTGGTCATCTAGTGGCAGCTATGTTTTGTCTAGTGAGGAGCAGTGGTCAAAAGAAAAGTTTTAGAAAAGTTTTGCTGCCAGGGATGAGAGGCAGATAGTGCGAGAGCATACTGTAGTGACTCATCTTATGCTTCGTACTTAAGGCTTCCAATCGTCGACCTCGGGAGAGAGAGATCTCCGGTGCAACGACTGGCTTCCGGTCTAATCGATCTCACCCTTAGCAATGATGGCCTCGTGAGGTCTGCGAAAGTGCTAACACCAAATGGCAACGTTTTACAAAGACCTCTAAATAAATTATATCCACTGGAAATACGTGCAGTCGACAAGGACGCGACAGAAGCACCAAAAGAATGTACTCCGCGCGAACTAGGGCAATTACGCACTGTTCTACCGAGAGCTTCAAAAGCTAGAGCGTACGAGGTTATAAATGAATTTGAAGATAGCTTACAAGAGCCAAATTCTTCACAATTTACATTAAGGGTCGAGCCGATTCAAGAGTCGCTCAATAACCAAACGTCACGCTCGCGGCAACAAAAAAGTACGTTCCCGTCACTAACAAGTGGTAATCTGAAAATGGGACTTACAATTCTAGCAATTCTAGCTTTAGCAGTGCCATCCTATGCAAATTATCCAAGTTGCCATAATGGTATAGTGGAAATTGCTGGGAAAACGCACCCATACGAGCTATGCTTCAACGAAGATTGTCGCAAGTTTGTAGGCGATGGCATAGCTATGACTTATGAGCTGCCTATCTCGCCGCTTCATAATGCAACCAACGTTACCATCAACTACATCAACAATGAAGGGCCAATGGTCTTTACAACTATTTGCGCAAACCCTGAGTTTTGCTCAAAATCAAATTCGCTATTCAGTCCATCATTATTAGGCAATCCCCACTGCTGGCCGGTGGGTGCTATTGTAAGTGTAGCATTGATTGCGTATTTCATGATGGTAATCATGATAATACCAATCTGGTTTATCGTATCTCTGTTTAGGTCCAGGGATAGCCAGCCTTCAACTAATATCCAAATCAAGTTGTAACAATACCACTCACGCTGAAAATATTAATCTTCATTCCTGGAACCCAGCGCCTCTGAACGGTGACCTGCTTATCACATTGTGCATAATTTTAGCGGCTATTTGTAAAGGTGCAGCAGCCTGCCAACATGGCTTTACAAGGCATGCGACTGATATCATCTGTAACCAGGATGGAATTTGCAGCTACGAATTCAGCACGGAGTTTCTATTCAATAGAATACAAACGTGCACTGTATAGAGATCCGTTAACGAATAAAACAGTTGGGTTTCTGAAGGTGAGAAACACTGCAGTAATCCTGACATCGAAAGTTTCGAAATTCTTCACTAAAAGCACTGAATTCAGAGTTTACTCTAGAGTTAGATGTGCACAGATGGGGTCATGTCATGGAAATGTGTGCGATCTTATGCGCCCTAACCAGACGGTATCTGAGCTGTCAAGAGCAAGAAAGTACCCAGGGTACTCAGGATGTCAATACACATGCGGGGGCTTAGCTGCTGCGGATGCGCTCTACCTTCGCCTTCGTGCACCTTTTACAAGGTTGCCCATGTACCCATTCGGAAGCAAGTATTTGAAATAATAGAATGCAGAACTGGGTACCTAGCGTGCAGGTTGAGTTGGAAACAACTCTGTTCGGAAAGACCCAAAAAGGAAGTCTTTTCTTAGAGCCGTACCTCACTTCAAAGTTCTACACTTTCAACGTAACAGCTATGTCAGTGCAGAAACCAACGTTGTCTTTGCTTGGCAAGAGGTTCGCTATATCACAAAATAGATCCATGATCTTACCGGACCAGTTCGTGGTACCGGTCGAATGTGCAACCCTCGAAGAGACAACAATGAATTTCCAGAATTGCGTCAATAAGATTATCTGTGACTGTAACACCGGTTGGACTAACCAGGAAGGTCTTTCAGGGCGTGACAAGCTTTTTGAAAACGGTCTTTTGCATGATATAGGGGCAGATGCGGGAACCACAACATACGTGCCAAAATTCGCGCAAAATGGAGTTAGAACCAACCAGAACAATCAGAACTCCATTTTGCGCGAATTTTGGAACGTCAACTCGAAATGCAAAAATTTGTCACCAAGAGGAATCGAACTAGGGACCCCTTTTCTGGTATTCAGAGGGCCGTTCAGGAAAAATTAAACATGGTTCTGTGGTCCCCGCATCTGCCCCTATATCATGCAAAAGACCGTTTTCAAAAAGCTCGTCACGCCCTGAAAGACCTTCCTGGTAAGCACCATTGCCAATGTCCACAAACATCGCTCCGGCATATCGGTACTAATAGTGATCATATACTGCCACTAAATACGCCACCCATGGAGATACTTAGTAATGGCAGATAGATATTCGCTATCTCAGCTGACGTTGAGTCAATCGTTACAGTACAATCCAGATTTCTTATGGAAACCGTCAACTTTGTCGACGATGAGAAATGCAAAGTGGAGCTAAGTTCGTTGACAGGATGCTATAACTGCATTCAAGGAGCACAAATCACTGCTCTCTGTGAAACGAAAAATCCCACGGAAGTTGCCGTGCACTGCGCGCACAACACATTCGTCATAGAATGTGGTCCAACGAATCCGCAAAACGTAGTTAAACTCAGCTACGATCATGCAGTAGTCAACCAGCACTGCTTCAGCGTATGCGGTAACGAAAATGTTACTCTACCGCTCAATGGTACCCTTTTATATCATGCTGAAAGGCACCAATCAGTATTTGATTTCAACCAGGAGTTGAAACATAAACAAAATTTCATGGCGTCGATAGCAGACATCAAAATACCGGACCTAAGTCCACTACTAAATACCATACGAGCTCATTGGAAGCTTGCAATGGTTGCCGCTACATCCGTTATGGTTAGCAGGCTTATCTTAACCTTTGGTCCGTTATTCTGATCACTGTGGCTAGCCTCGTGATCAGAATCATCAAATGGTTTTTCAATTTATTAACCGAAACTATCAAGTGCTGAGCGAGCACATAAATAACCGTTATTATATAATTTGTTCCATAATAACTTTACACTTTACTTTCAAATATCGCCGTCTACTCAATTGAAGAAGTTCACCTCAGTCATCATCGAATTCCACAACTGAACAGGCCAAAGCTTTATCAGAACCCACATGTAAAACCGGTATCATATTATCACTATCATTTCGTTTCTTTATCGAATTCCACATTTTCAACTAATCTAATTTCACGCCATTTCCACTTATCCGATCTCCAACTCTACATGCTGAGGATCACCCGACTACGAACACCTGTCACCACCCATCAAACACTTCATCAAAGCTGGTAGGAATAGATCTCTTCATTTAGTTATTACACCATACCGTTCATTAATTTAATCTCAACCATTTTTCACTCCACTGCCACTTCACGCGAGGCCAACACCGTAAGATGCGACCACTTCCAACTACCAGCTGCCCACAAGAGTCAAGGGTTCCAAACCATCACCAATAATCATTCTTCATTCGCCCACAAGTTACGAGGGTCTCCTGAAGCTGCACAATTCCTGACGTCACACATCTCTTTAACAAATCTAAAACAATTACTATGTCTACCGCTACCTTCTCATTATTGTACATTATTCCTCTTTCATCTTCTCTCATTCCCTTTGTCGCCGCGGAGTGTTCTGGCATGCCACCAGAACCTTCCCACCTAATCTCACCTACGCACTCATCTCAACACCTCACCACTCCTTGAGCACATAAATGTCACTCAAATGATACCACAGGCGCGGCCTCGTTTGAGACTGAGAGGCACGCCCAGAATCCAAGCTACACAATAAACATTCTACCACTGTATTCCCCCGAACCACATCGATACACAAGGAGTCCTATACAGGCGAGGTTACACTGTTATTGGAAATCTTTCTGGCCGCTTACGCAGTATCGATCACTCCTTAATGTTCGTCCTCCGACAGTGGTGATGCCTGCATGGATCCGGCCCGACCCCTTCCTCCCAGCGGACCATATACAACCCCACACCTCACCCCTCTGTCGACCTGTCGAGGATTCCTCAACGTACTCTCGACCTGTCCTCCATTATAGTTTATCTCCCATGTTATGAGTGCACTATCCAGATAGGGGCGGTCGGTTGACGAGATAGAATTTAACACATTGACGACATTGAGACGCGGTAACGCGTCTCACTTTGCGCACCTCGTTGGACATTGAGACGCGTTACCGCGTCTCACCCTTATCATCCCTTTTTCTAGGGCATGCGCAGCTTTTTCCCGAATTGTTTGTCTCTCTTCTATGGATTAGAACATAACATTATTGTGAACGACATAGGTCATTGTTTGTTCAAATATGCTCCAGTTTAGAAGAAGTTTTCCAAGCTCACCGAAACCGGCGGCTTGGTTCATTAATAGTTTTCATGCTATTCTCATGAACACGTCAATAAAAAAGGGTAGTGAAAGTAAATGCAAATCTAAAGAGACAGAAAAATACATGTTTCACTTGGTATAACCACATCAAAAGAGCTTTTGGCATCCACTACAGATAAAATGACTAAAATTTCCTTTTTCATTACCATTACATGTTCTTTAATCGGAACTTCGTCACTATATACTCTATTACCTTCTACGCATTGACTGTTACTGAGATGTTTTTGTACCACTGGTGCTTTAAAAAGTTATCAATAAAAATTCACGGATCCGAGGTGCGGCGGTCGCACTCGCAAAATCGGCCCGGTCCCACACGGCCAAAAAAGCCAAAACGCGCGCGGTCGTCAATGTGTTAAGAGTCGAAGGGGTCCTGAGCGGTCTCATTGCATGTGAATGTTTGAAACGAAGTGTGCGGATGAACCACCTTAAAACGTAAAGCATAAACTGTAATATGAAACTACTGTCTTATGTTGACCAGCGTAAAACGTGTTGGGTTGAGCATGTTGAAGTAGTGGCTCAGGGTATATAGCGATTTATCCAGCCTTCCAGGCATATAGGCACGCAGAAATCTTTCACCGAGTTCTATTAAACGAATATCTCATAAACATACACTCCATCAATGATAGCATATTTTCGAACATTTTCAAACACCTTCTAAAGAAAGACTAAGTGAGTGTTGAAGAGAATTATTTGTAATCACAGTAGGAAGTTATGACTTCAACGTAACACGAATTAGTAACAGGATATAGATACATGTAAAGCTCTCAGAGGGTTTACGCCTCAGGAGATTCGGATGCGTGGCATAAATGACATGCAGTACCCAGTAGCTTATAAGAAAACGAAAGAACAAGAATGTGACCGGATTGAAACCAACCATCTCTAGAAACATCTTGAAAAAACTCTAGACTAGTAAAACGAAGAAGGGATGACAAAAAAAAAATGGAGACCCAAGTCAGAATAATTAGCAATTTCAGTATTCCAAATGAATATTCCTACATAACAAAATTTCTTCAAAATCATAGCAAATGTCAACTTTGAAAAAAGAACTGAAGAAACTCTCCTCCAAATGACAATGTATCAGATAAGAATAGGTAAAGCGAGATCATATTGAAAGCCAAAAAACAGTGCCTTTCTTGAATGCAACTGTTCAATCGCTTGACATCCAAATGATGGTGAGTGAGATTCAGTACTGACTCCAAATCCTCTATTCACAATAAATGCTAACGCGGCTATAAGGTGGACACTCGAACCTCTAAACATAGTCCTCTTGAATCTTCCAGTGAAAAGGAGCGGGTGTAAGATGAGCATTTCAAATAGGGACAATCACAACTTAGTCAGTAAAGTTAAAGAAAACGCTGACAAAGTGAAACTTACAAAGAGTTGATGCTCTACCGAAAAAGCTTCTGTGTAGGTTCACAATGCGGGTCGAGGAATATAGATGATTGAAAAGGAATAAGCAATAAACATGTGAAGGCGTTTGAAAAAAATGTGAATCTCGCGGTAAATTCGAAGCAGCACCGAGCACGAGAGAGGACAAATACATAGTGATATGAACGGTTTTCCCAACAAAGCACTAAGAACTGCTCCGCCTCATCAGTTGTCTTGTTAGCACACCGAAAGTTGAGAGAGCTGCTTACCAAGAAGGTCATCAGGTCGGTCCGGCCATTTGCAATGAGGTGAACACCCATGCAGTCGTCTTGAGACGACGAGCAAGAAACCGCTTTCAGTATATGCTGTACGATAATCCAAACGAAGTCACGGAAGTTCCCTCCTCAATACTGTATTTCAATACTGTGTTTGAGTGCTATCATTTGAGCCGCCAGCGTAAACCAGCGCCCCAGGCACATAGGGGGATGTCATGGGATCGGCTCCTCGTGTGCTGCTTTGCTTTTTTGACAACATGACCTAGAAGGCTTCCAGTGACCTTACTTCGTCAACGTCTGGGCTCTACTTGCCTGAGCCTGAGTAAAGCGTTTGCAAGTAGCTGGTCGCAGGTTTGCCACTATTTGCCCATGACTGTACGCGACGCTAGCTTAATGTCACGCGTTTCTGGGGCAAATGACTGCAATATTCATTATCACTGGGTCGAAATTTATTTATTTATTTAATATGCACTCGAGGCGCACCATCGGCAACAACCAGAAAAACAAACCGAACCGTGTCAGGATAACTAGAACAACAACAAAACAAACAGTACACCCTGAACATAAGCACTCGTGGGATGACCAGTAAATAATATTGAGCAGGGCAAAGGGAAGAATTAGCTGAACAAAGTAGGAACAGCCCGACTCTCATGAAGCACCGAAGAGCAGAGACTATGGATAAAAACCATAAATACAGAAAGAAACTACGAAATACTCTGAAGGCAGGCTTCCAGCAGAAGTTGAGATTTTCACCCAACTTCGAGAAAGGGTAGTTCAGCAAAGCCACCTAGGTGCAAGCAGGTATGAATCGAAAACGAACTTGAAAAGCACCTTCCCTGAATTTTGATGCAGAGTCATGTAAATCATTTCCATTATGCGGAAATGTGAGCCGTTGAACGTTTCTCTTTTCAAAATCTTGGTTGGAAGGCAATTTCATGCCAAGAGTTCAACGGTAGGTTGATGATATGATGGTTGGCTCACCCAGTTTTTCGAAGTTGTGTAAAAACCTCAGATGGTTGTCAACTTGATCCCAGGGGCAGCTTGGACCCCTGAACACGAATATCACGCCTGTTTGTCACGAAAGCCTGTAACGTGCACTAAGGCATCATGGGCAGACAAGGACAAATAGCACCCAAACCTGCAAGGAACTGCTCGCAAACTCCTCATAAAGCCGTTGATCAATCCCGTTTTAATCTGCGGCACGCATTCTACTTCCATTTGTACATTCGTAGTGGCGTTTGAATGCGATGTGGCCTATACAATGACTTGCGGGGGCCAGCCGATGTACAAGTCAGTGTTTTTTATCCTCCCAGACAAGTCTGGTACCAATTAACCGACCCCGGAGGGATGGAAGGCTTGGTTGGCCCGGGCGACTCACGACCCAGGATTTGATCCCCGGACCGCTCGCGTGGTAAGCGTGCCACTTGCCACTACACCACTTCCGCCCCTTGTTTTAACTTCTCATACAGGCAAATGACAAGTGGCGATAAATTAAAGAAGTTAGAGAAGCGTGTCGGTCACATTGTCGAGCAAAGCAAGAAAACAAACTCTTCCAGGAACCATTCCCACAACGCCTTGCCTGCGAGAGCAGGGCACTACCGCTGCGCTTCCTTGCTTTATAACTCCGTTCAAAGAATCGTTTAGCAGATAGGAAGGCAGTTTTGAGCTCAGCGTCTCGAGGCGAGTGCAACGGTATGCAGCTCATTGCAAATGGCCGGACCGACCTGATGACCTTTCTTGGTAAATCCTGAATGAACTACAAATACCTGACGACTGAGTGGAGGAATCGAGTCAGCGACATCCAAG